CCTTGGAGACCACTTTCTTTGAAGACAACACTTTGGAGACATCTCTCTCTCTCTCTCTCTGTGCATAGGCCCTCACAGGCCTGGTACAACACCAGTCTCGTTTCGCCTGAGTAACGAACCGTAGAAAACGCCAGATGTTTAAGCCACAGCTTGTTGAAGATGGGCCGTTTGATCCTGCACACTTGCGCTGCGAACTCTGAACTTACATAACCAGTTACAGCAATCAATGTGACAGTCGATGAGAAAAACCTCCCCTTTGCCAGAGATGTAAAACCATTCTGGAAGGGGAGTTCAAACCATCAGCAGTCTACAATATATACATATATATATGTGTTCTCATATCTCATCCATGTCTTACTTCCAGTTTCTCCCGTTGAAGATCCCACTGAACTCCCAACATCCGCGGCGGAGGAGCCTGTGCCTGACCTGGTCCGTGAGGCTTCCGGGAGCTGAGAAGGACGGACCGAACGGGTCGGGCAGGTCAGGCCAGAAGCATTTGAACGGATGGCAAGAGATGGCAAGAGGCCAGAGTTTCTTTGGAAGCTTGGTATTCTTTGGAATGTTTGTTGAAGTTACCAGTTGGGTATGAGATGTATTTGAGCAGTTTCGCAGCTTGGTGGAGGTTGTTCTTCTCCTCCCTTGAGCAATGTTAGCACTTCGAAGTGGTCCCTTTCCACCAATCAATGCTTTCCGGCTCGCCTGGCTCGCGACCGCAGGATGTGGCTTTAGTGGGAAAGACGGGGGGCTGAGGAGGTGGAGGCAGAAGAGTTGGAACACTTCATCAACGAGCTGCTCGGGTGTTTATGATGTTCAATTATTCAGATGTTCGGTGTCCGGAGTGGGCACCGAACTGGTCCACTTTCCAACATTTGCAACGGGTCTTTCGGGTGGTTCAGCGACAAGTTGTTGGTTGATCGGTGATCTCCAATATGGGGTTCTTCTCAATATTGAATATTGGATATGGTAGCCCCCCCATACTCTACAGAAACCGAAAAAGACTTGTGTGACATGGATGGCCTGCATCAGCCGGCCCGACTAGGGCCTGATGGCCTGATGTGACCATCCTCGCCAGCTTCGTAGACCGTCCTGTTCTGGTGTGTCCATCGGATGGGTGTTTCCCCCAACGGGTTAAAGGCCCATTTTCACCCACCTGGAGAGGTTGCTCTCTTTGCTGAAGGTGGAAGCTCCCCTGTGTTCGGCCGACTCCACAGGACGATGTTCGGCCGAACAAGACCTTCCTTGTGGGAAGTCCGTGCACCTGCAAAACATCCTTGAACCTTATTGGTTTCAGGTGTCTTTTTGGTTTCATCCGGTTAAAACCGCGAGTTGCTGTTTTGGGGGCACCAGTGCATGCCACTGAAGAAGAGGCAACATCCTTTTTAAGTGATGCAACACAACAGCGACTTGGATTTCGTTTGTTTTCGTGTCATTTTTTCAGTTCTTTGGCCTCTGACAATCCAACAGCCAAGGTATGCCCAGGGAGCACTGTACGGCGGCAGCGAAGAACAAGTGAAGGCCTTCGTCCAATCCGCGCTGCTTTGCGTCTTGCTCCTGATTGTGTATGGACCTGTGCAAAACATCCGCAGACACTTCGGATTGGACGTAGAGGACCCTCTCAAACAACTGTCGCCCCCCCCCACAGGTGGCAACCAGGTCGGGCAACCCAAGGTTTTGCTTCACCCGAAATGCATGATTGTATAGGTGCGACAGTGCGCTTCATAAGTTTGGAACCTCAGGTATGGCAGTGGGTCCTGCATTCTCTTTGTGCACTGCGAATGACCTGGAGCTTCTTGTGTGTGGATTGCCTTACTTGGGCAATTTCCAGGAGTTGGTGCAGCATGGGAGATTTGTACGTCCAGCATGTTGGGCAGAAAGATGCCTAAGGGTCTTCTCCGCCCAGACTCACATGACGTTGTTCCTGAGAAATCTTCAGTTAAGAGTCCAGCTTGCCACTTACTTGATGGTCCAGGTGAAATGTCGAGGCCTTCGAATCTTGACGCCAGGAGCTTGAGCTCAGCTGCATCTATGCCAACGGTTTCTTGGCATTGTTTTCCGTGGCCGGCCAGAAGAAAGGTCGGACCTGCATCACCTGATGTGGCCAGAAGAAAGGAGCCAACAGTTGATCCGGATCGAACATTTGTGCTTTATAATTGGGTGTGCTTTTCTCTTTGCATTGTGCCAATATCTAATCTACTCCAGGATGACCATACTTCACTCATCATCCTGATCTCGTGATTGTTTTTTCACCAATGAAAAAGGTGTTGGTTACCATCTGGAGTTGCTGGGTCCCGGGAGTCCTATACATAGGAACAACTGGGGACACCAGACCACCAGGTACCAGACCACACCAGTGACTGGTGGTGCCCTACATTAGTGCCTACGATTATTCTCTCTAACCTCTTTTCGAGTGAAGGCCAGGCATGTCGACTCAAAGGCTAGGGGCACCGAGCGGGCACAACAGTGAATGTCCAACCAGCCTAGCAGCTGGTAGCCAGAAAGCGATCAATCAATCCCTCCCTCGACCTGCCCCGTTTTGGTCCTTTCCTTCTTTGTTTTTCTCGCAATGTTTCATGTTCGCTCATGTTCGTTTCATGTTCGTTTCATGCTTTCACACGTGTTTTATAGTGGTCTAGACCTGATCTGGCAGGGTACCATGCAGATCACCTGGTGGTGAAGACCTTCTGGCGCGTGGTGCACGGGATGTCTGAGATCTGGCCACCCGGCTGCCCCACGCGAACGCGGAGCCGGAGGAGTGGTCTGGGATAGATGAGCCGGATGGGACACCGCAGGATGTGCAGCTCTTTTCAGGTGGATTCACCTGAAACACCGTAAAAGTCAGAGTGGTTTCAACACAATCCAAAGGGTGAGGAGGAATTAGGCAGCCCCGTCTCGCTAAAGGAACTCTCGTTTTACACGGCTTTTTCACCACCGATGAGCCGGAAGGACTAGGGTGGAAACCTTCCGCCAGCCGAGGCGCCGGAAGCTGCTGCTCTTCTGCACGGGCTGCGATCGCGTCCCTATCCTGGGCCTCAGGGCGTTGCTTCTCGGTGTTCTGAAGAATCGGAGGGATGAGCAATCCAGTTAATTGGTAGCTTTACAGGTCTGTAAAGCTCTTAGACTGTACACTGTACACCTTTTGCCTCATTAAGACTGTCTCGGTATATGGGTACAGGTCTGGCAGAACCCAATTCTTCAAGGTCTCAGGAGGTTTTCGGCCTCAAGGATGACAAGTCGGTAGAGAGACAGATACTCACTTCGGAGCAAGGCGCTCTTCTAATTGTGTTAGTGTTTGTAAGGTAGACCATTGCTAGTGCTGCTGAAAGCAGTTGAATTCACTCTCTTTTCTTGCGTGTCTCCCTGAAATACTTCAGATGGATCATCTCCCACTATGTCTATTCTCCATCCAACAACGATGAAATTGAACCGACCCTGTGTTTCTGCAGGAAACCGCTCTGCCCAGAAACCATATTATCTCATCTCATCCACCAAAACCATGGTTCATGGATGAAAAAGGCACCCGCGTCGAACGAAACATCCGTCATCCCCAACACCAGCTCCCTGGGCTGAAGTGGCCGTCGATGTCGATGGCCGTCGACGTCGGACTGCTGGGCCGATGACGTCGAATCGGTCGGTGCGAGGAACTTCGTCATCTCCCGAAGTTTGGCAGAGCTGGACCACTTGCCCACAGAAACCTGGAAGCATATTCACGTACTGGGTGAATGGGTTGGTGATGTTGGTGTTGGGAGACTTCGACTGTGGACTGTTGGTGCGGAAATTCATCCAATGTCGACTTATTCATTTAGACTTTCTTGTTTAGTTCAGATACAAGATAATACACACTGTTGGCAGTTACTTACTTTCACAGTTGTTCTCTTGCTTTTCTTCTCGCCACAAGCAGTTTCGTTACAGTGTGGGCACATGTGTGCGGCATGTGTGACTTTGACCAAGGCCAACACATGCATCAACCAACTGAACCTCCCGGAGTATCCCACTGAGGACATCGGCGAGTCTTCCAAGATGTCCTTATAGATAGAGATTCAAAGTAAGTTTGAGAGAAGAGACTGCTTTGAGAAGCAACTCATTGGTTTTGAAGTTAGCCTGGTTCTGAGATGTAGAACTTACAGCATAACTTATTGGTTTTGAGAAGCAACTCTTTTGTAATCACGTGAACTTCCAACTTGAGAAAGGGGTTAGATTGGGTTCCAGTTTTCACTGTAGAAGGTAGGATGACATATGACATCATCCTGATCTGGAAGGAGATGATGCTCATTCGCCTTCAAGCAGCTCTGGAACATGATACTGGCTTTGGCTTCGCCTGACACCAATGAAGGAATGGCCAAGCGTCTTTGATCCACAAGGGTTTCTCCCTCCGGAATAGACCAGAACATTGCCATGCTGTGTGCTGAGTCGTTCGAAAAGGAGCAGCGCGTTCTCCTCGCGCGCACCTTTCTCGGCGGGGCTCACCCGTGTGTGCCTTTTGCTGCCGTTAGCGGTGGAAGACATACTTGTACTAAACAGGTGATTCACACATTTGTGACACATAGATGGATGATCGCATGGCTTACTCGAGTATTCTCCCTGCCGACTCTACAAAGACTAAGACCAAATTCCTCAGCTGAGTTTGGTCTCCCCACATGTGAGTTGGGGTTGTTCTGTTGAAACATTTTGTATTGCACTTGCAAGGCCTGAGTATATAGGGATTGAAATGGGGCGGATCACCCTTGGTTTCAGTGATGTTCAGCTGCTGCACTGTCAAAGGAAGTTGGGTTGAAGAATTCTCCCACCCCACTTTCCATTGTAGGTGACATTCTTGCAGAGCTTGACATGATAGATTGGTAGATAGATCGGCAGATCAATCGGCAAGGCCAAACATTTTTCCTAATGATATGTAGACTTTTGAATAATAAAGCCACCCATACATGAAAATGTTGTACACTGTGAATGGTTTCTTAAATGAATCAAGAGTCACATTCGATCGCTCACCAGCCTACCGCCTGCAGGTCGGACGATGACCGCGAGGCCTGGGCAGAGGGCGTGGGCATTGGTGGAGATGGGTGAGTCATTCCCATAATGTAGTCAGGGTAATGCAACATTTGTTTGCCTCAAAGCCGGGATTGAGTTGTTTCAGACAAAGAAAGTCTCAAACGGACCGAAAGTGGCAGAAGTGCTCATCAAACAACAGGGCTGAAATCCCGTTTTTCATTTCTTTCTTCCCCAAGAAAGAGGACGCAACAGAACTTGATCACATTTGATCCATCTATTTCTTACACATCTTCGCACCTCGCCTTCAAGGCGGCGCGCTCCAGGGGTCTTCGACTGAGCAGAGTCTGAGGGTTCAGCAGGACGGAGCAGCTGAGTGGATCCTGACGGATCAGCTGCATGCATCGTGAATTCATGGGGTGCCCCCCTTCGTTCCAGCACCCTCCGGGCGGTACCGGGACGAGGCCGCCCTTGGGTGATGGATGGGCACCGTGGATGGAGTCAAGCTTCTGAGGGGGGGTTTATGTCTCTAGCTGAAAAGCCACTTGGGTCGGCGAGGCATTGAGGTGGGCGAACGAGGGCCTGATCATGCCGTTGTGCTTCTTTTTTGTGAATGCCTTCTGAATGGCTTGTCGACCATCCGCGAATAGGAAAAAGCGAGCGCTGCGGTGAACTCCCAGACCCGGCTACTGACGATGAGCCATGACGTTTCGGGCTAGGACAACATGTGCTACCCCTAGATTCATGGGGTGATTTCCTTGATGTATCATATGGGATGATATGGGTTGCATGATTGTCTGATTGCGATGTATGATTGCCTGATGATTTGTTGATTCACTTATGAAGACCATCTGAACCTCTCCTGAGCACTGTTGATGTGACCCGAGCCGCTGGGATTTTCGACTTCTGCCGGTTCCGCAAGTGACGCACAGAGAGTTGGCTGGGATATGGTTGACTGCACCAAAGAAAGGGCCGATGTCTGCGTTGGGACTTTGGCAGAGGAGTTGAGAGTGGAGATTGGCCAACAAGGAGTTGATCCGCCCAGATGGCTCGTAAGAACTCCGGATGAAGCGGAAACTCCATAGCTTCGGGTCAATTTCAGACCCAAAAGCGAGGTCGCTTATTTACCTTGTTCCTTTGAGCTGTGGTTCCTTGGATTTCACCCGTTGTCCTCCGGTGTTCCGGTGTCGTTCAGCTTGGACTCTGTCCCTCCCACCAAGCACCGCTTCGGTTCCGAAATGTGAACGAGTTCGGCTGCGATATGTAGATTGAAGAACCTTGTTTCCAGTCTGTGTGGTTGGTTATTGGCAGGGGTGCAGAATGGATACGACGGTGCATTTCCGGACAATACGGGACACAATCAGACAGCAGACATCAGTAGACAATACTGGACACAACAATACAGTAGACAGACAATACCGGCCGGACACAATCATACAGTATAATAAAAAATAAACAATTGCGTGACTGTCATGTGATCGACAATACTTCACACAAGCCTTTGTTGGCTACATTTAGCTTAGAGACCCGGCTTTGGGTCGGCTTTCCGTCAAGCCGTTCAATCTCCCTCACCAAAAAGACACTCAACTTGCACCATCTTGTCTTTGGCTCAGGAAGCTTGTATCAAACCATGATCTCAAGCCGGAATATCAAGCAACTCTACAAAGTGGGCAGAAATCTCAGTTGGTACCAGCTCAAATGCAGCAGGGTGCAGTCCCTGCCCGAGCCATCCCACGAAGCAAGTCATAGCATCCCATCACACGGACTTCCACAGCCATCCTCCACACCGACCGTATCCCAGAGCCGACGCCGAGGCCTCGAGTGGGTTCTTCGCCGCAAGAGCTAAGATGCCTTTCACGTCTTTTCACTCTCCCTGCATCTATCCTGGTATTAGCAGCAGTATCAACAGCAACTTTTAATTAATTGCATTTAATGCATTAGAGCTCCTTGACCCCCTGTTTTGATAGGAAAAGGCACTGGGTGGTCCCAAATAGAGGTCACCAAAAGGGCTCTCCAGGGAATCTCCTGCAGCTGCTGCGCTCCACTCCGGACCACGGTGCCGCTCCGTGTCGCAGCTCGCGGCTCCGCGTCGACAGGTGCATGTCGGTGCGGTGCGATGGGCGATGGCGAAGCGAAGGCATGGCCCCTGCGGTGTCCGAAGCCCTTGGAGGCGCTGGCGCGGCGCTGGCGCGGCGATGCGAGGCGATGCGAGGATGGAGCGAGGGAAGTACGGAGGAAGGCGCTGAGCGCTGAAATCAGCGGTGGTGGGGTGGGGTGGATGTAGCGGAGGGAAGATGGAAGATGGGGAAGATGGGGATGTGGAGGATGTGGAGCATGAGGAGGATGAGGTTGGTTGGAAGATGGGAAGCTTTGGAGAACGATAAATCCAACCAAGGCACATTTGGGGTGGTGTTGGGTTGTCACTGTTCCTGTAGCATAGATTTCAGCGGGGTGAGTAAACTAGAAGATGCCATGCATAGTAGGTTCAACACAAGGTCCACAAGGCTTCTGTTTTTGGGAATACGAGTTGCCCTCATCAAAGCATCAAGATAAGCTAGCATAATTTTAAAGGGGAAGACCCCCGACCAATTGGTTTAGTTTAGTCCATTTCCCTTCTTCTAGGGAGTCTTTGTCTGGGAGGTCTCCCTATTCTAATACACACCTATATACAATGAGATGCTGACAGAAGTCCTAGCGGACAATTTCCATTCCATCCACTTCTGTCTGCTTCCCAAGCAGCACTCTGTCGTCCGCTTGGATGACACTGTCGGTCCGCAAACTCTGTGGTACCAAGAGCTTCTTGTTGGGTCAACCGTTCTTCTGGGTGCCCACAACTCACATTTGTAGCCTGGTTGCTTTTTGTGAGTTTTCCACGTCCTACCACCGAAGATGAATCCGATGAATCCCCCGCACTTCTGACCCACTTCCCATACAGCTGCCAAGCACCGGACCTCACCCGTGGACGGACCTCACTGGTCCAACGTGCGTCGGACGGAGGGCGCGCGTTCTTTCTTTCGCCGCCAGGCGGTGCAGGAACTCTTGATCCAATACCTGTCCTCGGGGCAAGGCCGACAACGGGGGGATGCACGCACAGAAACGAAGACGAGTGGAATGCAGCGTGGAAGAAGACCTCTTCTTCAGGGCAAATCGCAGGGTCTTAGGTTGAAAGACAGGATTCTTTTTGGGGGGTCGTTGCGCGCAAAACACGTGCCGAAGCTTGTTTGGGAGTTGGTGGATGAAGCACCTTCGTCGATCCCGCCGTTCCATGGCCGTTCCATGGAGGCTACGATGACGAGAGCGTGTCCTTAGCGCTGCAAGAAGGGAATCAGCTCTTCCAGCAGAAAGATTTCAGCCGGGGGGTCTTGGACTTGAGAGTATGGCCCAAAAAGCTTCAAGAGCTTAAGGCGGAGACCCAGGCAGATGAGTTTTCATTTTCTTTCTTGCTTGGAGGGTTTCTTACTTGATCTCAGATGTTGTTGTCCTTGGCCGGAGAATCAGACGTCAAGTAGCAATCTAATTGAAACTGCCACAATGAATCACGCTGAAAGCAGATATGACTGACACTTTGTTAGCGAGGGGTCCAAAGAAGCATTTGCATGGCCTGAAGAAACAGAAGCAAGACCATCAGATGAGCTTCCTGTGCAGCTTCTTTGATCAGACATGAGACATGTTGCAAAACGGCCAAGGCCGGGCATGTGATTTCTTCGGCATTGCCTACGAGATTGGCTGGGCTCCACAACTGGCTGTTGAGCGGGCGAATGTCGATGTGATCATGCTTGGACGCTGTGAAAAGAGGAGATACAACACGCCGAGTCGAGACAGAACGTGCTAGATTCTAGTGCGGGGCATGCATTAACGTTTGTTGAACACCAAAGGTTTGAAAGGATCACATGGTGGGGTGAACATCATCAGGGTTTTGCTATCACCAGCATTTTCCAAGTTTCTGCAGCAAAGTACCGTATGAGTATGTGCCTGACCCATAGAGCCCTGCCTGACCTGGCAATATCCTTTTTCAGAGCCTTCCTTGGCCATATCCTTCACATTTCGATTGGTCGGAGTTTCCCACCCCGAAGCGTTGGCAAAGCGAACCCTTCGACCCAGGTCGGCACCACTACTGCTATCGACCTCTGCTGCACGTGGGAGACCCATGGGCATGGTGAGCTCATTTCAAGCACCAGGGTGGGCAGCTTGCTCGTGGGTGTTTGTGTTTTTGTTACATATCTATTTTTGTTATTATTATGGTTCACATCTTTGTAAAAGATGTAACAGTCTCATTGCTGGCCCTTCAATTTTTCCAAAGGACGAACATGTCTTGGACTTGATGAGTTTATGAGTTTCAGATTCATTTAAAAACAAACAAAGCCGCTGCTGCTGCTGCTGCTGCTGCTGCTTCACCTTTTATGTATCAAGTGGTGCGTGAGGAGGGAAAACAAATTCTCTCCAAATCGACAGATACGGGGGTTCATGGATTCTTGATTGTGCTGGCCGTGTTTTCTCTGCCTGCTGTGAAGCGATGATGTGTTTTCTACTTTGAACCCTTGTACGTATGGAGTTGGAGAGTGAAGATTGCGTTGAAGCCAGTTCAAAGCGAGTTTCGTCACTTGTAAAGTCGGAAATTGCCAGAAGCAAGAGAATCAGAGACGATGCTTTTAAGCAGCCTTGGGATCGAGGATGGTAAGAAAGTCCTTTCCAGCCTTCAACGAGCCCTGGGCGGTCTGAAGTTTGAGTTGCCAACCATCGGGCGAGAGGCTTTCGAGCAACAGAGGTCCCCGACTGAGTCGCAAGTCATACCTACTCGTGCCGCACTGCCTCGGTGGATTACGCCCTGCACCTTTGGTTCGTAGATATATGGCACGGGGCCAATGCGAAAGCTGCAAGACACAGTGCTGACTGACCTGCACGCATCGCAGTTGGGGCGCATGCTGCTAAATAAAGCATCTGTGGTCTTCACTTACCACCTGGCAAATGCAGATCGCCATCGCATAAGCCAATTGTTTTCTGCCCGAGTCAAAGGATGCTCAGGCGACATGCTTAGACAAAAGCGGCCTCTAAAGCAGGCTGTGCCACTAACCTCTGATTCTGTCTATTTCTTGGATTCTTTGATGCAGACCCTTGAGAACAACCAATCCAAGGTGATACTTGGTCACCTTCTGTTTTGTATGTGCTCCTGCGCTCGTTTTGGAGACCGTGTGTACTTGGATGACACTGTTTTTGACAAACAAGGACATGATGTTCTTAGTAGAAACTGCATCAAACAAGTACAAGACAGGTGTCCGTGAAAGGAAGCAACGTTTTCTTTTTCTGGGCATCGGCTTGCATGACCGACCATGGGCCATTGAGTGGATCAGGGTGCGAGAATGTGACAGAATTGGAATGAATCTTGCAATGCCTGCGTGGAGCCAGATCACGCAAGAGTGGACACAGAGGCCCCTGACCACAGGAGAGGCCACCTTGTACCTTGTACCGTCGGTCACTTTGTTCGGATGATCTGCAGCCTGAACTGTACCCAGCTCACAGCTGCAAGTGCATTCTTTTGACGTGGTGCGCTAAGTCAAACGTCATGGGATTCCAAGATAGACGCCTATTAGGGCACCACATCCCACAGTGTGCTGCAAGTGTTTTGGCGTACTCTCGCGACGAACAAACCCGATTGCAAGCCGTAGTATACAAAGTGCTTCAAATGATCATTAAAGACGAGTTCAACCCTGACCTCCCCAGGGTCGAGCATTTGAGGCAGCTGGTTGGAATCCCCGACTTTCCTGAAGCTGATATGCCAGCCGGCAAGGATGAATTGTTTTATGAATCATCGGAGGGCTCTCAGGATGCTGACGTGGATGGTTCAGCAACCAGAGCCAGCTCATGAAGCGGGTGTGATAGTCTTCCACTTGAACTGTCAAAAAAACAGGCGACACAAAAACTCTTCTGTGATCATGTCTTGGTTGATGGCAAATTTTCGTGCGGGCGTGCGTTGACAGACAAGTACGAACACCCCCAACGAAAACAGCACGGACGAGGTCCCTGTTCAATTCATACTGTGGATCAGCATTGTGTTGATCAACAGAAAGACGATTGATTTGTTGATTCGTTGATCAGAATTCCTTCCGAAGATCCCCATGTTTTTTCTTCTCCAAGGACTTGCTCCTGCGGCGAGCTCTCTGCCACTCCTTGCTGGGAAACTTTAAAGTTGCCCAGCAGGCTGGGAGGTCGAAGAAGGGCACAGGTGAAGGAAGACCAATCAATCAAATACCAATCAATCAAATCAACACATTGATGGGGACTAGTATCAGTGATTGAGCTATGGTCGCTATGATGAGTATCACAAGCTATCACACGTTTAGTATCACAAACTATCACACGTTTCATTTTTGTCAGACAATCAAACTGATGAAATCAAACAATGCCATATTGACAACACAACATTGATGCCAATTCCTTTTTGTCCAGTCATTCTTTACATGGACATCATCATTACTGGCAGTTTTCACACCAATTTGATCTTGGAGGTTTCCACCCTGACCAAGAAGAGAACACCTCAAAATCACAATGGTTTTCACATGTTTTCACCACCTGAATGCAGAACCATCCTGTCTCTTGCGGCACTCCGTCCGACCATCTTATGCTTGCCAGGAGATTGAGAAAGCCCTCTGGCTCATTCCACACGAGGCACGAACCATTTGACGATGATTGATTTGTCGGCAAACATTCACCGGCTCAAGCGTGATATATATTTTATTTATATACATATAGCCTAGTGATATATAACATATATATATATATATATATCAGGAAAGGTAGCCTGGTAAGGACTACCTTGAGTTTGCTTTGCGAAGCAAAGGGACTGGCTTGAGAGCTTGCTCGGGACTAAAGATTGGTAGATCAATGTCTAACACCCCCACCCCCCCCTCCCCCCTCCACTCCCCTCCCCGTCCCCTCCCCTCGTCGCCAGCACTACTAAATTCTGGACATAAGGTGAAGTCATGCGCTTAACAGTCACAGCAGTACGACGCTGGCCATGAGGTTGCGCAATACAGCACGAACCCTGCGCAATGAGGTCGCGCAATGCAGCTTGGATGCCGCGCGTGCGCACCCGGCAGCCTGACACAGCGCGTACTGCGTTCACAGACCATATTGCTCGACACCAACGAGCATCGATGCAACACAGCCTCCCTGCAAAGCCCTGTGGAGAAACCCCTCGCGTCGCGGAACACCATTCGACTCAGCCTTATACCCTAATTAGCGTGGCGAAATCTTACCGCATCGTGGAGCACACCCACCATAGCGTGACGTCCATCCCTGGCAGTACCGGCCGCAACCCTCCAGCACTATCCTTACAAGGGGGTTGGTCACTGAGTCACTGCGGCTTCGACGCAACGCGTGCAGGCCTGTAATCCTGACACAGTGCGTGCAGCTGTGGGACCATAGCTGGTACACATGCGAGCGTTTACGCATTGCGACTTTTACGCGCGCCTGTTTTCACACCTAGACACAAACGAGCGTCGACGCAACGCAGCCTCTCTGCAGAGCCGTGTGGCGCAATCTGACCGCAACGGTGTTCCTCTTGAGCCTTCTTATGCCTTCTTGTGCTCTCTGGCTTTGTTGGTTTCATCCATGATTGACCAAGGGGCACGTTCCTGAAACACCGGAGACAGTCCCTCACCAGAAACGGTCCCGACAGCTACTCGGTCCGTCTCTACCTTTCGTGTTTCCCCGCTCAAGTATATATTTTTTTTGGGCTACAGTCTACAAATATGTCTACAGATGTCTAATTACATAGCTAGCGTCTGCGACTTCCAAGGAGCTAATGGCATGGACCAATGACTGCACAGGCTTGTGTTATGTTGTTCCTCCTCAAGTGTTGGTTGCAGTCAGCTGCTTTGGTTTGGCTTGGGGGTCTTCATAGGAGAATAGCAATGTCGGGGCACATCTCGAAGCAGGTCCCCCTATGCCATCCTATGCCCTCTGTTGGGAGTTTGGAAACTTCTCTATCTTTGGCCGATCCTCACTGATGCAACGTGGCTGATCCTTCTTCACTTTACTCTGGTATGGAATAAGGCCATGCTCTGAAGGACATTGGATTGCTGTCGTAGGAGGTTTGTTGCCCCGTTCTGATGAGTTTATCCTTGTTTCTTACCGGGCATGCCGGAAGGCTGCATCTCTGATTTTGTTTATGAGCGGTTTTGATCATACCGCCCTCATGTTTGACGCCATAGCCTTGTTGGTAGCCAAACAGGTAGGCTTCTTTGCTTGGTCAGGCGGTACCCTCCCTCGTCTCGCATGGCACAGCACAGGCTACTGGACTTTTGGTGGCTGCTTTGGTCTATTCCAAGCTAGGCCAGAGACCCAGTGATGTGGATGTTTTTTGGAATGAACGTTCAGTAAACCTACTGTCCTACTGTACTGTACTGTACTGTACTCTTCCAACAGCTCTCGGACGGGCCATGTGAGTTCGATCTTTTGTTCTGCAGAATTTCGGTCCATGAACCCCAACACATGCCTTCCGTGCCTGATCCTTTTCGCACACCACATGCCTTCCGTGACGAGCACCACGGGACCGAGACGCGCTGGGTCGGACGGGATCCAAACGCCGCGGGGTTGAGGCCTGGTGACGGAAGCCAACGTGTCCTTCCAGCAGGCGGTCTGCAGCCAACGAGAGCTCAAGGACTTGGTGCCACGGCTTCAGTGAATGGTGGGGGGCGGTGGTGTGTGAGAGAGATGAGATGGATGGGTGGAGGTTGATTTGCATTTCCTCTGTATAAATAGTACATGTGTTGATCTCCAAAGTAATTGACCCATGGATCTGGCTGGTAGGGGGCAGGCACACCTACCGGGGCCCAGTCACTTCGTTGGCATATTTGGCTCCCAAGGTGGATTGCCTGGTGGCCTTCTTTTGCCTCCAGCACCACTATGCGGACCGCGCTGTGAACATCTGCACCCAGGCGCTGTGAATGACTTCGGCTTCCAGGTTGTTGTTGGAATGCCAAGGTGAGCGGTCATTGTAGATGTTTACCCTTGCACGACTGGCATGTTGCGATTTGCTCGATTTCGCATACTACGGTGTATGGACCTGGTGTAGAATTTCCAGCACAATCCTCCGCAGAAATGGCCTCCAGGTGCTGCAGCGTAGCCCGAAGTTTGAGCCTCATTTGGAGAACTTTTTAACACACTTGGCAGCTTCGCATGTGACTACAGCATTGGCGGGGGTGTCCGAGGAATATCATACGGAGACAGGAGACTGGCCATGAGTCAGATTGATACTGTTCCTCAATGATCTGAGGTTTTGAGGCCACCTGGGTCCCCCTGCATCCTTCCATCACAGCCCAGAAACGCCGATCGATCTCGATCCGGCACGTTGGTCGAGGTGTCCCTTGGCGCTGCTGATGCGTGGGGATGCTTACAGGTTCGGGGCTGAGGGGAGGGAGGAGGCTGAGTCAGGGCCTGAGTCAGCTGGTGCTCGGGATGAAGCAGTTGTGGGATGACGATCAGCTCACTCCGTGTATAAGACCCGTGTGCATTCGGCCGGCTGATGAGAAGCTGGAGTTTCCAGACCACTTCCGTGCTGATCAGATGTTCGAACGTCTCAGAGAAACGCTCTTCCCAAACGCCAGTGGACTCCTCTCCAGTGGACTCTCCGTGACGGTCCGGTCCGTGACGCGCATGCTTCGAAAAAACCTATGAAAGTCATATGACATATGAAAGTTACATCGTTACATTGCTTTGTAGTAGTCTTGCTTTTGTAGGTATTGCTGCCTTCGCCCAGGTTTGGTCCTGCGTCTCGGGCACGTCAGCAGAGCGCGGCCGCTGATTATGCGGATCTGCTGGACCGCGGATCGAGCAGTGGGTCTCGGTGCTGCCATGGACGATGCATTTTTTGAGGTGAACGATACCGTCCACCGGGTGGCCGGTATAGCATGGCTTTTTGGGCTCTTGGAGGATTCTTGAAGGATCTCATCTCATGATTTACACATGTATCATGATGGCCGAAGCGGCGTTCCCTAGCCAACGCATTGCTTCTAGATGTTGAGAATGCAGGAAAACCATGCAAATCCCAACTATGTGGAGCCAAGTTTATCTGATATCTCACAGGATTTCAAGCTGTTGGACTCGGGCAGTCACACCTTGGGAGGAGTTGGACTTCAACTACCAAGCACTCATGTGCAGGCTGGAGATTGCTCTGTTTGTGAGAATATTATCATGGACTCTATATCTCTCTATATTATTTACACTTACACGCCCCTCTATAATCTGGGCAGATTATATATATACATATATATATGTGAGGACTCTTGGCATTTTCTTGCCACCACCATCCATGCTGTAAGTTGCTGAAAAAAACAACAAATTGTGATTCATAGAACAAGCAGCCAGCATTCAGCAAACAATAATTTTTGAATCTGGTCAACGGACCCAGTCGCTGTTGATAGTATGAGCGAGGTATGAGTTGCCGGTATCGTGATGAGTACTTTTTCTTAAATCCACCCAGTCCCAACAGTCCTAAGTCCTGAGTATTGACTAATTACCTGCTTGAAACAGCTCTTCTCGGGATTTGTTGGTCAACATCAGAATTATCTTAGCTTCTCCCAGCTACCACTATTTTCCACCATCTTCCCCATCTACGCCTTCCACCAAATTCCGGCTTTTGCAACTCCGGACCATAGATGGCCTGACCTATGTCCTTGGTTGATCTATGGGAAGGGGAGAGGGGAGAAGACCCTGGTCATGTACAAGCAAGTTCGGCCTCTTCTTTACCCCAAATCCATTGAACCCCGGTCCTTCTTCCCTTCGGAACCCCGTTCGGTTCTGGCGGAGATCGCACTGCGACCTCGCCCTCAACGACTCCGCCTGGCCACGCAGCGCAGGCAGGCACCCGATCCGGCGAACCACACCCGAGCGGAAGAGTTGCAGGGATGCCAAGGGGCCGGGAGTGGGGCAGTGGGGAGCAGGGCAGAGGGGAGCAGGGCGGAGCTGGGGGATGGATGATTTTTGTGGGGCCACTCCAGCCGTGGCATAAATTAATTTGTTCTACTTTAAACATTTAGATAGTTGAAAAGTCACTAGCTTCTCCATTTCCACATATTGCGTACTTTGATAGCTATTGAAGTTGATTTCGATGATGTAATACAACATTAACATTTCCCATTGATGTTGTCCAAACTCTGGTGGCCTTTCACCTTTTGCTTCACATCGAGTCTCACGCAATCTGTTGTTTGTTGACTGCACTTGCTGTTGCCCCCAGGCTGCTAAGCTTCCATCCCACTCTGCAGATGCAAGCGCCAAAGCCTTATCACCACTACGCACTCTATAGGCGAGGGGGAACGTGCAGTGGCTCGCCGGGTCAACTTCTGAAGGTGGATTGCGTTTGGTGTGCCAGATCTTGGGCTTTGACAGATGGTTCTTCAGCCCAGTAGGTGAAATCTTTGCAGTACAGTATGAAGCTTTTTCAGGGTATTTGGAAGAGCTCAAGCAGTTGGCCTCCTGGCTATGGAAGCACTGTCGGCCCTTTCAAAAACCCTTGCTTTGGGCATCCGACCCTACAAGCAACAACTTGGAAGCAGATCAGCACCTGCGTGAATTTGTGGACCCTGGACAACATGTTGCTGGGACCATACTTAAAAAGAGTTGCTACTGCCGTCAGGTGGAGACGATTGCAGTCACTTTCAACATGATTTGCAAGGTTGACCTGAAAGCTAAGATCCTTTCCTTTCAATCCACTGCCCCAACACCTCCTCACTGAGCAAATCGATTTGTCACTGATCGCCTGTCAGGCACAAAGATCCCTTGGGCGTGGCTTGCATGGTCGTCTTGGCGGTCTGGCATGCCCAGCGTGACGTGCGTCGTTTTACAAGCTGGAGACCAATTTGGAGTGGGCAGGGATGTTGAAATTGACAAACACGTTAGTCACCAGTGTGAAACGAGTCCAAAAGCATAGCATCAAATCCGATGGACTATGTTCAGTCCACTAGGTTTTGCAGGCAAAAAGACCCGGAACTTGGAGTAAAGCACCGTGCAGTGACTTTTTTTGTTTGTGACACATCGTCCAAATTTTTGGATTTGCAGACAAGGGAGAAAAGGATTTGGTTTCCTGCAACAGATCTTCCCATCCTTTTCTCCCTTGTCTCTGGAACTCCCGTTGGTCTCCTGGCTTCGCCGCCGATCGGCCGTCGCGATCGGCCGCGATCACGGAGGTCACGAAGCTGCGGCTGCTGTCGAGCTCGGGGAAGCTGATCCGAAGAGCCACGCGGCGGCGAAATGTGGGGGGCGAACGGGTGGGCGATGGAATGCGATGGCTGGATTGAAGGGTTCGTTGGAGTCTGGGGTTTTTGAGGTTTGGTTTCTTAGGTTCTTTTTGCAGGTTTGACTTGGAGGATGAGGCATGCTCTTGGGCTTCGTGGATTTGGTTTATTTTGGTTTGCAAGATTGCTTCTGGAGTTGGAAAGGCTTGCGGAGAAAAAGCGCTTCGCGTCTGTTTGGTTTGGGTGGTCTCGGAGCGTGAGGAGCGTTTAGGGTGTGTTGCCACTCGAGTCCTTCAGATCTCAAGCGAGCTTGGCGCGGGATTTGGAGCGATGGCGGTGGTGCTCACAGTGACCCGCGCCAAAGACTTGGTGTGCTACACCGAAAATTTGACCTTCCTGAGACAAGATGTGGTGGCCATCCGGGAGTTCCACATTGCGGTTGCGCTACTGGAGGGGCGGCACGAGCTGCTGAGTGAGCTTGTGCCAAGTCAGCGGCCAGGCAAAAGTGCGACAACTTGTTCGCTGTTTGCCGTTGAAACATTTTGCATTCTTTCCCACCCTCCAATGATGATGAACCAGTCAGCTGGGCCAACCAAGGTGGGGCAACGTTCACCTCTTCGACCTTTGCTGCAGGTTTGGTTGTTTTGATACTGCCTGGGCTATGGCGCAGAAAGGGGTGCCAGGGTGCGTGCTAGCAGCACATCACATCGAAAGGCCGTCTGCAAGTCCTTATTCAAATTATTTCAATCATGAGTTCGACTGTCTATGTCAAGGAAAGGATGTCACTTGCAAAGCGTGCTGCTTTGGCTTTGGCAGCAAACCATCAACAATTTGGATGGATGACTTTGACGCACGTCTAGAAAGTGCTTGGAAGACTGCACTCCGGACGGCCGAGTTTCCGTTGGTTTGTGCAATCCTCCAAACCCTGCGATCGGGCGACGAGTGGCCCTGCGCCGCTGTCACTGACGAGGCCATGGCGCACATCCTGGACATTTGCATGCTCATCGGGGATAAGGAGGCCGCAATAGAGTGCGCGAAGCACACATGCATATGGCCGGTTCGGCGGTGGAGGTCTGAGGATCTCTTTCAGGTGCGAGGCAGAATGTGTTCTATTGACGACTCATTTTTCACAGGAGGACCCATTTTTCAGGACTGGGTGTGCCATTTCTCCTTGGACGTTCTGATTGCAAGTTTTGCGGTTGGTGCTGGGCTTCAAGATCTTACACTGCTCACAGACTTGCGAGGCTTCAAAGACCGATGTTTCCCGCTCAGAGCCGCTGTGGCGCTTTTTGGAGAGCTGGACCTTTTGGCAAGATGGAGAAACACTTGGCTGTTGAGTGATTTGTTTGAGTGTGGGAACTTCAAAGCAAACCTAGTCGCTGCTGAGAAGGCCGGAATTGAGTTGAACACCATGACTGTTCGCTTTTTTTTTGGCACCTGCAAAGAATGCAATGGATCTCTTCTGGATTTGTCCATTTGGCTCGGAAAGCCTGATTGTGCCACAGTCCTGCCTTCATTGGGTGTGAGCTGGCTTACCAAGGAAAATGGGGACTGGTTGAAGAGGCTTATTGATTTGAAGCCTTCGACCAATACTCGACGGCCAGCAGCGAAAGCAGGCGCCCACGCAGCTTTGCGATGCTTTTGGAAAAGCGAACTCAATGCTAAGGGCGTTGCAGTTTTGCAGCTCCTCAAGACCTCTTTCCGAGGAAAGCCTTTTCCACCGCGGTTGGTGAGACATATTCTTTTGCTTGCCATGGATGTGCCAGAAATTCTAGATCAACTGGATCTTTGGGAGGATGTCAAGAACTGGCATGATCCCCAACATCATTGCTTCAACCGCACTTCGGGGAACTCTTCGGGAGAGCAGGGAACTGTGGGTGCTCCGAACGAGGCTGCTTCTGCTGAAGGCTCCCTTCCTGAAGAACCTCCCGCATCATCTGGCGAGCCAGCCTCAACAAGAAAGTCTCAGGAGACTCTTGACTTGGCCAGTTCTCTTCACAGACCCAGTTCAAGCTCATTTCGTGATGTCTGGGTTTGTATCTTATGAGATGTGAGCCTGTATGCCAAGAATTGGCTGTACCATGTGATGGGTACTCGTTGCAATTTGTTTTGTTGATGTAAATGCAAAAGCATTCTCTTCTTTGGAAGCTTCCACACTTCTGCGATTGATTCTGTGGAAGCCCGCACAAAGAGAGAAGTGTACCAAGTTTCTTTTAGACAGGTCACGGCCTTTTTGGCTATGAACAGAGTAGATCTGAGTGAAGAAGTCAGGTCACGGCCTTTTGGGCTATAATCAAGTGTACTCGAAACACCGAAGCCCTTTTTTGCAGCAGAAAACAAAGCTGCTGAGCTCGCGTAGGTTATGAGCCCAACCCTTTCCCAGGGGCGATAAGTCCACCCCGAGCGGATCGTGAGGATCCACGGGTCGTTGGCCGCCATGCCGCGAGCAGCTGCTGGCGCGGTGGGCGGCGCGGAAGCGGCGGTGGGTGGTGCGGGCGCAGAGTCGCCTGAAGGGGCAAGTTCGATGGAAAGCGCCAAAGAGGACCAGGGCGTTCTGGCGATCGAGGACATCACCGCTAAGGAGGGTGCGCTGGTGGCGATGACGGGAGAACTCCTACCGTATGGACCACCTACAACCTATGGGCCTCAGAGGAGGGAAGAAACCCGCAAGAAGGACGGCAAGGGGCAGGGGGAACCTCCAGAGCGGTGGAAGTCAACCCATTTTGGAGCCAGACTGTCAAGGACGAAGCTATGCTCCGGGCCATGAGGCCAGCAGGACTTCCAGAAGCATCAACATCCTCGACGAGACCTATGGCATCTGGTGGAGATGAAATGGGAGTTGACATCCAAGAAGTCCTTCGAGCTGTGATGTCCCAAAATTCGATGCTCAAGAGGGAGTTGGCGGACTTGAAGAAAAGAATTGAAGACTCCGGCAGGGAGAAGGACCGGGTTTTCAAGGGGGCTGATCGACCGAGGCCTCCAACATCGACACCTCCACCGAGTCCACCATCGGGACCGCCACCTGATACCCCCGAGGCTGAGAAGGGTGCAGGCACAACATCCCTCGGAGCGATCCCTGAATTTCCAGGGAATGACCGACGAGGAGAACCAGGGAAGCTATGTGATCCAGTTCAATGGCGACCGGGAGTATGTCATGACGCTGGACGTGGAGCTCCACCTGTACCAGAATCTTGGTTGGGAGCACTTCATGCTGGACACCAAGGAGGGCAGGGTCAGAGCTATGAAGGGAAGGAAGTGGCCGGTACTCCACATCCTGGAACCCAAGGAGGTATAGGACCCGGACGTGGAGGACTACCTGATTGTGCAGTACGAAATGGAGACCTGAGTAAGGGGTCACCTTTGGAGCAAGCCGCCCAATCTGTTCTGAGGCAGCTGGGCACTGGAACCTCGGATGGAGGCTGGGGCGAAGTGATCAGGTCAGTTGAGCTGCCGCCGCTCCAGGAACTGCGAGAAGGTGAGTTGGGATCACTGGTCCTGGGAGATTGGATCCAGCTCATTTCCCCGACGATGAGGGACCTCAGCGCTACTTCGTGGAGGTGGTGGGAAGAGGTGATGCAGGGGGCCATGATGGCCTATCGTGAGTGGCTTCGTGCAGAACCAGTTCAACGGCTTCACATTAAGGCGGAGGTGCCCCGGGAGTGCAACACCGTGTGGAGCAGGCTGGAGCAACGAGGACAGCTCATGCTACTGAATGCAGTGCCGGCATCAATCCGCTCAGAAATGCTAGCAAATAGAGCCTCCAATTCGGTGGACGTCCTATACGCACTGTTCCGGAGGTACCAGCCTGGAGGGCTGGCAGAGAGATCTCGACTTCTCCACCAACTGGTCGAGCCAAAGACACCGCAGACAATGAATGAGGTGGTGGAGATGCTTCGCGGATGGAGGAGGAGCTTGAGGAGAGCTCAAGAGCTGGAGATCGCAACTCCGGACGCGACACTGCTGCTGATGTCATCAACCAGAGCGACACTGGGAGTCGACGTTACTCCAACTCTCGAGACCGTCCTCAGCTTTTCGGACATGTTGACGGCTGAGGCGGAATCACTGGCCATCAGCGATGTTCAACCACCCCCGGAGATCAAGCCGTCGAACCAGGTCACCAAGGTCAAGGCAATGACCGCCGTGGCGGAGGAGAAGGAGTCGCCAGAGAAGCAGGCTGTGAAGTCCGTCAAGGAGAAGGTCGCTGCCGGCCAGGCAAAGGGAGAGGCAGTGGATGCTGGGCCCAAGTCTGGGGGGAGTGAGCCGGTGGAGAACAGCCGATCCAACGAGGGCGACAAGGGAGCGGGAACCTCTGGGGAGATGAAGGACCTGCTGAACGAGGCCACTACTTTGTTGAAGAGTTTGAGGCCAAGTTCATCGATGAAGGCCATCAGGCTGAGCAGTCTCGAGGTCCGAGAAGGGGGAAGAGCGCTTCTGGATGGAGGGGCCACTCACTGCTTGAGAAAGACCTCGTCAGAAGAGGAATGGGCGAGGGCGCAAGAGGTCAACGTGGAGCTGGCGGCAGGGACAGCGGTTCTGAGGTTGCTTCCGTGGACGAGAACCTTGCTGACCAAGGAGGATGTCCAAGTCATCGTCCCACTGGGGGCGCTCATTTCCTTGGGCTATGAGGCGGTCTGGGAGAAGACGAGATTTGAGCTCACGGACCCCACCGGCCTGGTGCTGGACACGAAGGTGGAGAACTCGCGCCCTACGATCGATGAGGCACTGGCCCATGAGTTGATCCAGGAGATCGAGCGAAGCATGGTGAGGGAGAGAGCCCGGTTGGCGCACCTTGCAGGGGAGGACATTGGCTTGGAAGTGGACCCCGACGAGGCGAAGCATCTGTCCGAGCTAAAGGAACTCTTCCCGGAGGTACCACACCACATCCTCGAGAGGTTGCTCCCGAAGAAGAGCTGGACCGGCGAGGGATTGCCTTGGAACAGGCATGAGAGAAGGCGAGTCCGCAGGGCGAAGGAGGTCGTGATTCACCTTTTCAGCGGAGACTCAAAGAAATTTTGGCAGAAGGAGCTGGAGGCGGAAAGTCGAGCGGTCCTCTGCATTGACACTGTCATTGACCAAGGAATGAACCTCCTGCGGGACGACGTCTTCTCCTACCTGCTCGACTTGGCTGATGGTGGGACGGTGTGCGCGCTGTTGGGAGGACCTCCATGTCGGACGATGAGCAGGCTGAGATTCAAGCAGCCAGGACCTCCACCACTGAGGGAACGAGAAGGTCCCTACCGATTTGGCCTTCCTCAACTGGACCGCTACCTACGAAAGCAGGTGGAAGACGACACGGTCTTGTTTTTGAGGCAGCTGTATCTCCACCACCGAGCAGCACTGGCTCGAGGCCCGAAGGTGACCCTGGCGGCACTGGAACAGCCCGAGGACCCGGAGGAATACCTCAAGGCCGAAGAGAAGGCAGCCCACAGGTACCCGTCCTATTGGAGCTGGCCAGAATGGAGGGCAGTCAGAGATCGATGGGGTTTGATGGAGGTCAGTTTCGACCAAGGACCCATGGGGCACTCGAGAAGAAAGCCCACGAGATTGGGAACCAACATCCCACGACTGGCTGAGTTGCAGGATGTTCGAGGACATGGAAGTGGAGCAGACACTGCCCTGGCGGAGGACCTTGCGGAGAGGATCAAGCAGAGCAGAGACTGGTCGGCTTGGGCGCCTGGGTTGAAGCAGGCGCTGGCGGTGGCTATCCGGCAAGCAAAGCGAATGGACCTGGAGGCCTGGAAAAGACACCTTTTGAACGGGCATTTGCCCTACAATAGAGAATGCAAGTCTTGCGTCATCGCCGCATCACGCGGCAAGGCGCACAAGAGGATCCCACATGCTGAAGCTTATACGCTGTCGATTGACACTGCAGGGCCATTCATGCTGGCGGATGACCAACTTGGGAAGGGCCGCTTCGTGCTGGTGGGAGTCTACCTGGTTCCGGTGACCAAGAGTGGCCAATCGCTCATCCCGATCCATGAAGAGGACGAGTTGAAGGGGGCTGGAGGAGATGGACCAGAGCTCACGGTAGTTGATGAAAGACAAGAAGACCCCGAACGGGAAGAACCTTGGCCTGGCCTGGACGATGAGAAGGAGTGGGTCTCATTGGTGGAGCCGGAGCAGGACTTCCAGGTAAAGCAGATCACGCTGGCAGAGGTCATGGAGAATCGGGGAGCATCGGCAGTCCTGGAAGCGGTGGGACGGATGGTGGCCAAACTGAACTTCCTGGGTCTCCCGGTCAAACGGCTTCATTCCGATCGTGCAGGCGAGTACCAGAGCAAGATGTTTGACAAGTGGGTACGAGATAGAGGCATATGCCGCACCTTCACTGATGGAGATAACTTCAAAGGGAATGGCCGTGCAGAGGGAGCAGTGGCTCAGCTCAAACGTGGTGCACGAACCCTCCTGGTGGCGGCAGGCCTTGATGAGAGCTATTGGTGTCACGCTTCGAGGCACTGGGCAGACACCCGACTCAGAAGTCAACTGGAGTCAATGGGGTGGAAGCGGCGACAGCTGGCGACCTTTGGCCAGGTGGTCTGGGCTAAGAGGAAGCTGTACAGTGATCGCCAGAAATACCTGTCCACGACCAGAACCCAAGTGAGGGTTCTTTGCCCAGCGGTTACCATGTCGATGACGTCGCCGGGATACTTCGTGGAGGAGCTCGCCACGGGAAAGCTGTTCCACACCGCTGACATCATTCAGGTGGAGGACATGCCGGAAGGGGTGGCTCTGCCAGATCGAGAAGCGGGCATGATTCACGAGGTTGATGACCGGGAGGAGGTGGAGCAACCACGGAAGAGACCGGGAAGAACTCGAGGGAAGATCAAACTCCTCCAGCTGGAGCCGGATGTGGAGTCCGCAGATTGGGGGGAGCTGCAACATCGGGGGGCAAGGATGTTATCCCAAGAGCTTCAACTTCTGGAAGAGGACTCCGGAGAAGTCAGGAACGAGAGATTCTTGAAGGCTCTCACGATGGAGGTGGAGGAGATCAGCCAAGAAGCCGTTCGTGCAGGTCGACAGGAGGAGAAGAACATGGTCGCAGAGATCGAGGAGAAGTCAGAAGAAGCTCCAGAGTTCCTACAGACGCGGATGGTGGGTCTGGCGGAAGTGAGGAGGAACCTAGATGAGTGGAAGCCATCCATGATCGAGGAGTACACGGCCCTGACCAATGAGTCCGAGGCGGTGGAGGCCATTAGCCAGAGGGAATCTGATCGACTGAAGGAGGAGGCGAGGGCGCAGGGCAGAGACTTTGATCTTGTGCCAGCGAAGGCCATCTTCAGCCGAAAGGCAGGCGCTGGAAGACACAAATGTCGAGGGGTAGCATGTGGAAACTTTATGAATGCCAAGAGCTCTGAATCTACGTTCGCCTCAGGTGCCAGCGGGATCGAGGTGAGGACGCTGATCAAGATGGCAGCGATCAACCAGTGGGCCTTGGGCACCCTTGACGTCAAGACGGCGTTCCTCAACGCCCCTGCGGCCCACGACCGTGGGGTGGTGGTAGTTCAGCCACCACGAATCTTCCAGGAGGCTGGAGTACTTCGAGATCAGAAGGAGTTGTGGCTTGTCAGAAAAGCCCTTTACGGGTTAGTGACCTCTCCACGGGATTGGTGTGACCACCGAGATGGAAAGATTAGAAATTTCCAGTGGATGAGAGAAGGGAGACCCGTGAGGGTCCAAGGAACACCTCAGGCGGACATCTGGCTGGCGCAGGAGCAGGATGATCGAGGTTCTTGGACTACAAGGGGCGCAGTGGCCACGTACGTGGACGACGTCCTGATGGCGGGCGAAGAAGAGATCATCCAGGGGTTCATCAACCAGGTCCAGATGCACTGGAAGATTGGGGAACCGGAGTGGGTAAGAGAAGGCCGAGAACCGGTGCGCTTCTTGGGAATGGAGATTGAGAGGAAGGGCCAGGACTTTGCCCTCCACCAGCGGGCATACTTGGAAGGCCTGTTCATGGAGTATGACGAACAAGGGAAGGCATCCTTGGGCCAGATCAAGACTCCGGATGAGGAAGAGAACCCGCAGCTGACTGAGGTGACTCAGGCCCAGAAGGAAACTGGTGAACTCCTATGGGTGGCTGGAAGGACGAGACCAGATGTCTGCCTTGCGGTGAGCATCATGTGTCAATGGGCCACAAAGAGGCCGAGAGCGGTGATGGCCATCGGGAAGCAGGTGAGGGCCTACCTTCGACAGACCAGGGGAGAGGTGCTGTACATCTCCGGCATCAGCGATGATGAGGAGGAGAAAGAGAACTGCCTGAACCGGGTCGATGTGTATTCAGATGCATCATATGCCTCATCGGACATGAAGAGCCTGACTGGCGTTGTGGTGTGCGTTGGAGGCACGCCGATCACCTGGCATACTACTCGACAGGCATTCATCACTTTGTCGACGGCGGAGGCTGAGCTGATGTCGATGCTGGAGAGCCTAATCTGTGGCAGGTCGGCGGGAGCATTGATGGAAGCGATCCTCGGTGAGAAGGTTCAGGTCCGACTGCACTCCGATTCGACGGCAGCTATCGCCATTGCAACTGGGACGACGTCATCGTGGAGAACAAGACACTTGAGGATCAGGGCGGCAGGATTGACTGAAGCTCTGAGGTTGAAGGAGGTGTCATTGGACCATGTGGCGGGAACAGAACTGGTGGCAGACGGCATGACGAAGCAGCTCACCGGGCAACCACTCCTGAACTTCAAGAAGTCACTGAGGTTGAGGACGATGGATGAGAAAGTGGAGGGCATTGAGGTCAAGAGACTGGAGCTGAATGGGGGAACGCCGGACCCCAGATTTCTGAAGGTTCTCGGGCTGATGATGGTGGTGGCGAGTATGGTGACCAGGGCCGAGGCATCGGAGACTGTCAAGGAGGAGGGGAACAGTGAGTGGTGGATCTTGGTGCTGTTGACAGCAGCCATTGCGATCTTGGGGGATATCATCCTTCGAGTGGGCTCTGCAGGAGTCCAGCGGTGGTTCAAACCCAAGGAGGAGCTGAAGGTGAAACTCCTTAATCCAGAAGCCATCCTACCCTCTTGAGGCTCCGAACAGGCGGCAGGACTGGATCTACACTCTACCATAGAGACGATGGTTCAGCCGGGAGACAGCGTGCTGATCAAGACGGGCATCGCGCTGGAACTTCCGAGTGGAAGCTATGGAAGAGTGGCACCAAGATCATCGCTGGCGATCCGGGGAATTGAGACTGGAGCTGGCGTGATCGACCGAGACTTTAGGGGAGAAGTCAAGGTGCTCCTACGGAATCACTCCGATGTGGACCTCAGGATTTACAAGGGCGACCGAGTGGCGCAGCTGGTGGTTGAGAAGATCTTGGAGGTGAAGGTGAACTGTGTGGAAGAGTTGTCCTCGACCGCCAGGGGCTCTCGGGGATTCGGGTATTCAGCTCATGAAGATCTGTACCCGTGGGCAGAACCTGATGACCCAACCTATCAACGTCAAGAACTTGGGACCTCTCATCCGGTGGATCGCATTTCGGTGAGAGCGTTGAGGATGAACACCAGTCCCTGGCAGACCCCGACGGCATCCGCTGGGCAGACACCAGTGCGTGACGAAGAGGACGCTCCCCTTCCAGACCGGCCTGAACCAGAAGGACACCATCGAGGACAGGCTTCGGGGCTATGGCATCGAGGCACTCAGACAGAGACGGCGCAACAGGGGGAACTACCTCACGGTCATCGAGAACCTTCGGATGAGCTTCGAGTACCCGATTCTGAACTATGGTGTCGAGGGGCATATGACGCCGAGGCAGAAGAGAGACGACGAGCCAACCTGGGACTGAACCTCAGCGCTTGGGATCGCTATATGGTCCGTCGAGGTCCACGACGAAACCATGGAGGCACCTGGGTGATGCTGGATTTGGAGGGGGTGCACTTCGTGGCACACGATCCTGGAGATGGCCGGGGACCCCCAAAGCAGAAAGATTCAGGAGCACGTGGAAGTGAAGGAGATGAAGCACCACCCCAGGAAGGCGAGACAATCTCGCAGGCTCAGCCTCAAGGTCGATTGCCGAGAGTGGAACCACTACGACTGATCACCACGGTCGATGAGGGAGTGGTGCTTGGGAAATGGATTCATGAGGAAGAGATGTGGGACTACTTGAGGACTCCTGGCTTTCAGAAAGGGTTCATCAACGGAGCGGTCCTCAAGGTGATCTCCACGCCGCCGTTGAGAACTGCGGCAAAGGACTCGTGGGAGTACTTGATCGACCACGAGAATGGAAAGAAGATTGGCATTCGGGTGCACCACCAGACCCGGAAGAAGCTGTACGACTTCGAGGCGGCGATCCTTCTGGAAGAAGAGTGGGGCAAATGGAGGATGACGGTGGCATGGCCGCTGGTCGGAAAGCGGAAGACCATTTTGGTCGACGAGAGAAACGGCAGGAAGGGGCTCCATCTTGACACTTGGTGGGGGTATACCCTCTTCCGCTCAAAGTGAGATGAGGGCTTGAGCTGAGGCCTGAAAGCGGGCCGAATTTTGAAGGCAGTGCGGCTCCGGATAGGTGTGAACACCTAGGGGGAGTGTGGAAGCCCGCACAAAGAGAGAAGTGTACCAAGTTTCTTTTAGACAGGTCACGGCCTTTTTGGCTATGAGCAGAGTAGATCTGAGTGAAGAAGTCAGGTCACGGCCTTTTGGGCTATAATCAAGTGTACTCGAAACACCGAAGCCCTTTTTTGCAGCAGAAAACAAAGCTGCTGAGCTCGCGTAGATTCATTCCCCCAAAGCCTTTCTCAGAGCACCTAAGGCAAGACGTGACCGAGATGACCATGCGAGCCCTCCAAGCCAGCCGCGAGCAGATGGCTCCGCTCAACATGGACGGCGTGTGCCTCTTCCGGTTGACGCGCATGGCAAAAACCGAGCACGTGCAGCAGCTGCTGTTGAATCCTGATGGGCCCTTGGCAGCGCTTCATGCGCGTGTTCTGGAGGCCGGTTGCGAGGTGAATCCCGATTGGAGCCCGGTGAAGGTGCTCTTCGTGCCGATCACTGAAGCCCAAATGAATGAACTGCAGGATCTGGCTGATTTTGGCTTCTTAGTTTTGTTCTGCAGCATGTTTTGTGCTTGATTTGTGAGGACTTGAGACAGGCTGACTATAGGTTTGTTTGCTTACGGCTTATGCACTCTGGTTTCCTTCATGTGTTGATTGCCGAGTCCAGGCAGTACAAGGCGTTATGCTAGGCCGCATCCCTGCCACAACTTAGGATACGAGCTGCGCAGGGATGTGCATTTGTTAGCCTTGCAAGAGGATCAGCGCATCATCGAGGCCGCCTTCCGGAACGCATTTCCCAGCGCTGGGCGGCCGAAATTGAAGCAGGTGGGCCCCACGCGAGATGTGCCGAATATGCGCAGGGAGGATGGAGAAGAGGCCGCAGATGATAGTGAGGATGATGGGCCTTGGCTGGCATTGGAAGGTGGATTTCAGACAGATTCAAGTGTGGGATATCCATCTTACTCCAGGGCGGAGCTGTGATACGTTTGGCAAAGCCTGTGCTAGCCACGGTCGTGAGCCGGGATTGCTTTGGTTAGCCGACGAATGTCGACGTAGTTGTGAAAGTTTCTGCAAAGCCTGTGCTAGCCACGGTCGTGAGCCGGGATAGCTTTGCTTTGCAGCAGACGCAGTTGTGAGAGCTTTTCGAAAGCTTGCGCTAGCCACGGTCCTGAGCCGGGATAGCTACAGCTTTGCGGCAGTTGTTTTCCTAATTCATTTATGCACTGCCGGCTGATTTTCAAGCCTGTCAAGCACGTATCATGTAATGGCAATGACTCGTGTCGTTGTGTTTTCCATGGAGATAACCAGGCTGGGCAGTTGGTGATGGCAACGCATAGTGGGAAATCGGCCCTTTGCGAGAACAACTTAGATTGACCAAGGCGCAGGCACAACCCTGCAAGAATCTGTACCTCTTGAACGAACACTGTCTAAGGTGAAAACCTCTTGGTCCAACTGAGTTCAACGGGTCTTTCGTTGTTTCGCGTTCGAAGTGGGCTCGGAAGTGGCGCTTGGGGCGCTCTGTACAGACAATTCCGATGTGCACTAGCCATTGGTCGCGAGCCTTGATAGATGCACAATGGAATCCAGGCGTCAGGACCAAAACGCAGCAGAGATGTGCAGCCAAAGGGTTTGTGTTCATCTATTGGGGGGGTTCTAGATGGGTCTAGGCTAGGGTCCAGTCCCGACATCATATAACATCACTTGTGCTTTCCTCTTAGTTTTAGGATAGACCCACGAACCTCGACTACTGCACGCCAGCTTGAGGCTCAAGAGGCCTATGAGGAGTTGCTGGAGCAGCGAGCGGAGCTTCAACGCAAGGCAGCAGAGTCTTCAGCGGATTGGATCCGAAGGGCAGAGAGGGCCATCGGTTTTCCCCTCATGGGTTGAGGTGAGGACGTCATGGTGGGATCATGTGGGGGGTCTCTTTCTTCGAAAGATCCAACGACCTCCAAGCGTGCAGAGTGGTTTGATGTCCATGGATTTCATGGACATTGCTGCTTCCGGTTTTTGCGTGACTCGCCCATCCTCCCTATACAAACTTGTACTGGGATCATTCATCAAGACTGTCCATCAGAAGTAGCTCTCACCCAAACAAGAGACAGTCTCGAATCTCGACAAGCATGACTCTTACCAACATCTGTGGATGTCCATCTCTTCTGACGCTCAAGTCTATCGAGTAAGACAGTTCCCCAGAAAGAAGCATCTCCGAGTTGTGTTGTTTTGGTGACACACCTCAAGGAACCCAACACAGCCTAACAACAACCCTAGGGACCACAAAGGGGTCTCCCTGCAGGACCCTCCAACAGGTCTCCTTCCGCGCCAACCGCGAGGTGCAGTTCCTCCTGCAATCCCAACGACAAACCGCGGCGTCACCGTTGGCGCACGAGGCAATGTATGGTCTGATTGTCTGATTTTTTGCTCTCCCATTCATGCTGGAGATTGTTGGGATCCACAGCCATAGTACAGAGAGCGGCCGTGTTTTCCCACCGTATGGAGGTTCTATGAAGCATTAGTTTCTGGCTTTTGGTAGAGGTTTCTAGTTGAGCTCTTCCGGCGTTGGAACCCCAGAGAGCTTGTCTCCCCAGTCGAGTAGCCCTGCACCGCAGTCCGCGCCAGGTCTATGGTCCCATGGACCCAGAGAATCCGCACTGCCGACGCTACAGGTGCCGAGTGGACAACAGGGAGAGGCACAACAGAGTCCTTTCTATAGAAGCTTCGGCGCGGCACAACGGTTGTTTCGTTGGGATTCTTTGGGTGCAGTCTCAACGCTTGGAACTAAAGGAGAAGCCGAACACGGGTTGTTGTAGAGTAACTGCAAAGTTTTACTCATTTAACAATAGGTGTCAATTGGGGGAGTGTCACAAAGCTGATATAACTTTCGATGCACTTGTGAGTCTTTGAGTGATCCCTCGGTTTGGTCTTCCAACTCCAGCTAGTGGTATCTTGAAAGGGGAACAAACATCCACGGAGTCCACAGATCGCACTTTTGGAAGAAGGCTCGACAACTCTGGCAGCTTCGCCAGGCGCTACTGGATGGAACAAGCTCCTCGGGCGCCACGACCGGCGCCCCAAGCGCCTCCAGCGGCGCAGCAGGTGGCGCCTCAAGCGGTGCCTCAAGCGCCTCCGGCGGCGGCTCCGGTGCCCCAGGCGCTGAGGGTGGATGGAAGTCATGGCACGTTTCTTTTGGGTCTTTGAGTCTTTGATGCAGTCATGGTGCAATCTACACAATAAAAACATATGATTATAGTTGGATGTGGGCTGGTGGGTCGATGGCTGGGTGAAACTCATTGGTGGGACATGTTTCTTTTCGTGCAAGGCACCCACTCCCAAGCATCGGTCGTGCCTGGTCGCAGCCTCCGCCAACCCTTCAGGCGGACGTGCCAGAGGCGACGCAGAGTTGCCTTCGGCGGCAAGAAGCGATACGCTTGGCGCAGCAAGAGATGGAGGCGATGCGGATGTGCATCCCAAGACGTGCCACTGAACCAAGAGGTTTGGCAACCAACTGAAGTCATGGTCTACATAGAGGGTTGACCAAAAAGAGCAGTCTTCATGAGTTGAGACAAACAAGCTTCTTCACTTTCTACGGTTCTTATCGCATATCACAGCCTTACCAATCAATCATTGACATGCTATTTTTCCAGAGCGGCCAGACCGGCCCAGTTGACCGGGCCCACCCCTCTGCGAGGCCAACTTCAACCGAGCTCCGATGCACGCGGCTTCTGCCTCGGCTTCGCCAGCTCGACCGTGTGACCAAGGCGGGTGCTCGTTGAGCCCATGTCGTTGAGGTTGGCGAGGTCTGGTGAGGTCTAGGTGTTGCAGAAGTTCTGTGAGTGCCAAAAGAATGACAGATCCAGAGGTTTGGGGGGAGTTTGTTGGCAAGAATATTGTGGCAACATGTAGTACACGCAATGAACAAATTTGTGGGTTTCAAGGAGGGTTGAGAAGTAGAATGAGCTTTTTGCAGGTTTGGGAGAGAAGAGGCAAGTTCCAAGTCCCGTTTGGGTTAGCCGCATTCGCCATATCCTGGCACCGCTTGCGCAGACCGGAGCAGAGCAGGAAGAGCTGGGGAATTCAGCACAATGCTCGGGCTGCCCAGCTTCAGTGGAGCTGGTTAGACTCCTCAGCAGGTCTTTAGCTTTTCTAGCAGATTGTTTTGAGCAATGCTGCAATGCTACCAAATGCCCCCAAGAAGTTTCACTTCTGTCCCTATTCCCTCTCTTTCCATCCTCCATTTCGGCCTCAATCACAGGAGCACACCCACCCACAGGACTACGTTCAAAAAGCAACAACAAACATCACCCCCTAGAAGCCTTCAAACGCCTGACTGACTGGACCCCCTTGAGCTCCACGAAGACTTCGCCCATTCTCTGCCCACCCAGGCCCACCGCTGCCCCTGCTGCGCCGCCGGCTTCGCCGCCGGAGCTCCGTGCCTCGGGTGCTCCACGCCTCTTTGCGTCGCGGCCTGCGGAGATGGAACGGCGGGAGGCACCTGGGGGGGGGGCAGATGCTGTGGTGGCGGCTGGAAGACTTGGAGGGTGGACAACGGGTGGGAAAATAACCGCTTCTAATTACTTGAAATCTGAAATCTATGGTTGTGTCATTGGAGTCGCCACTCATAGATATAAGGCCAACTTCATGTCATTTGCGAGGTTTGTGATGATACCATCTTCTTGCCCTTGGTACTTTCTTGTTCCCTTTCGGATGGGTCAGTTACACCTCGGTGCTTTTTTTCATCTCCTGACCCAACTTGCTGCGAAACATGTAAATCAACTTTATGAACATGAATCGAACAAGCTTACGGGATGCCCAGCAAATTGGAACCGTGAACTACCTCCAAGAGCCGATTGGTACCGTGAACTTTTGTTCGAATCGGGCATAGTGAACCTTCAGGGTTGGCCCAAAGCTCATTGGCTTGGAAATTGTTTCGGGGGGAGTTGTGCGGAGGTTTTATTCTGCATCTCAGTTCTCAACGTTTCATTCTTAAGTATAGACTGTATATCTAATGTATATCTATATATATATCTTATTACTTTATATATCTATACAGTATATATATATATCATATATATAGTTTACGTGTTTTTTTTCTCTAATGTGCGTTGACATACAGAGGCATTCCGACCTCAGACAAGCAGCCCCGACTGGCCCAGGCCGCCCCTGCCCCTGAGATCTGGCCCTCACGTGAGGAATCTCCGAAGGATGTGGTGGCCTCGATGGTGGGACCTGGTCGACGGGTGGCCACTGGTTTGAGCCAGGGTGGCTCCAATCCTTTGGATATCTTTTTGGAACAGCCATCCAATGGAATCTGGAAGTTCAACCATCTGATCATTGGAACTTAGCACCATCCAAACTAGGGAGATTGCACCTCAACCTCCATGTTTTAAAGGTTCACTCACTTCACTTCACATCTTTTCAACCTCAAGACGCCATACCGAACCGAACGGGGGTTCAGGCCACCGAACCGCGTGTATAGTCACCAGACCCCCCACAGGTGTAGTATATAACTCGCCTCGGGTGGTGTGTCAATTTCTGTGGACTTTCCATGACCGTCCTCACCGTGACCCGCAGCCTTTTCAGCTGAAAAGGCATTCTAAGTTAGGCCTTTCAAGTTCCAATGCTTTGCAGCTTGGCGAGAAGGAAGGCGTCTGGTGAGCTTGGGGTTTTCTTTTCATTTCTTCTTGGAACTTCGACACTGAGAAAGGACAATTGGATCCATTTGTAATCTTGGATGATCTATTCCCTATGCTTATTGAACCTGGTTTTAGACAGTCTTCAACAGGGCACAGTGGCAAGACACCTTGGCTCAGAAGTCGAGCAAAATCATGTTCTCAGCTGCTCCACATGATCCACTTTGCCCCGAATCGGGGTGGCCACGACCTCACTGGCCTCGGGTCCCCTTTTTTGGACCAAAGATAGAACCTGGAAGCACCTCCAGATGCGGTGTGTACGGCGCGTCGGACACGTCCCTGAAGCGAGGAACGTCTTTTTTGGGTCAGGACCGAACCCCAGCACAGGTCGGACATGACAATCGTGCCAGGTCAGGGCGAACGAACCCCCAACCAAAAAACACCTTGGGACTCAGGTTCGATCTAAACCTCCTAGGAGCTCCCCCAACGCCTCGCAGAATTGCTTCGCCTCCGCCCTCTTGCCCGCGACTCCCGCCCATTTCCCGCCCGATGCGGCATTTGCGCCCGAGGAGATCGGGACGGCGCGACGCCTGAAAGGCATGCGACGGTTCTTTGTACGAGCTCTTTGGCCTGAAACGATGGAGGATGGATATAGAGAAGCGCAGATCAGTAGATGGATAGAGACAGCACAGATCATGAAGGTGTTTGTCAAGAATCCTGGCTTGGTAGAGCTGCAGAGGTCTTTTTGCCACTCGCAGGTGGAGATTCTTGCCATACATCCCAACACGAATCTCGTTCGTTGACATGAGGTATGCCTCTTGATCCTGCCAGCACCCTTGCATGCCATGATTCACGACACTGAGCCTTGGGCGTTTTTTTTGCGGGCTGGGGGTTGGAAGTCTTGGCTTGGTCCTGGTGGGTTTTCCTGGCACCGAAACAAGAACCAATCTGAAGTGATGCCAAAAAATACTCCAATGACTTGCGCTTCTGGACAACTTAAAGACCCACCGGCTGATTTGCGAAGAGAATTGGAAGGCAGCTCCGTTCGGCCAAGAGACTCTCCGACTCTCGCCTTTTTTTCCGACGCGGGCGCAGGTTGGAGAGGTCCAGGTTCTGGAGGGACTGAAGATGAGAAGTGGAACCGCCCTGGAACTAACATGGAAGTTGGAACTCCCCCCTGTTTGGTATAGAGGATTTCATTGTCTTCCAGGAGATGTGATCGGTTTTCATCGGTAAAACCGCGTGGTGAAGCAAAGAACAGTGCGCGGGCGGCAGACCCTGCCCAAAGCGGTCCAGGAAGATTCTTGAGTGGAAGATATTGACTTAAGTTTCAAGAAAGATGAGTGGTAAGAGATGATCTTAAATAGGCAGGTATGAAACAACAAAATCAACACCACGGGCAAAAAGCAACTAAACATTTTGTCGAATTATTGTTTGACAGGTACAACAAGAGGATCATCATCAAAAACAATCCTCCTGTTGATCAATCTTTGGATCTCTTGATGATCTCAGTTCTCATGCCACCCATTTCTTCCGATCACCGACTGGATCGCGTAGTTCGCGACCGGTCCAAGGACACCAGTTCGGTGGTGGACAGTCGCGGAGCAGTGCATCTCATGAGATCACAACCATCAACGAACACGTCAGGCCGGTTGAGCGATATCGGTTATCAGACCTCTTGGGGCCGTACACATCCTGTTGGGACTGGGATGTCGACTGCCAATTGACCTGGCAATTGTTGCTGGGAGAACTAGCCGGCCGTGGTTCAATAGGCATTCCAGTCGCCACTCCAACCATCAGATCTTTCTATGTCCATAGAGGACATCCACTCGGTGGGAGCCCTCTGGGCATCCAAATTGACTTTTGCCACGACAGCAGTCGATCTGCGTCGACCAGAACCCGCCCCCGCTGCGTGCGTTGCTGGGCGAAGTCGCCGGCGTTGGCACCGAACACGTCCGAATCGCTTGCCGAATGGGCCTGGCGCAGGTGGGGTGAAGGCTCAGAATCCCTACCATGAACTGAAGATGAAGATGGAAGCCGATGGCCAAGGCTGGAAATAGACGATGGATTCTGCAAGCTTGGGTGCTGGTGTTTATGAGAGATCTTTCTTGGATTCTGCAAAAATGAATGCGATGCATCTGCTGTCAGAGTCAAGCTGCTGTTCTTGGTTGGTGCTCAGAGCATCCAGAGTTTCTGTTCAACATGGTTGTGGAAGAATCTGCGGAGGAAGTTCGGAAGCTGACCCTGGTCAAGCAAGAGGATGCCACGAGGCATCACGAGGTTTCAACGAGGTTTCAACGAGTTCCACTGTTGCTTCAAGGTTTGTCTCAACAACTTATATAGGAGTCAGTCCCATCGAAAGATCGAGATCCTAGAGAAAGGAACCCCTAGTTCGAGACCACACACCCAGGAGTCGAGGTTTTCAGTCCTTCTGAGTTCTGGTTTCGAACAGCACGAAGATGAATTACAAATCCACCCTTTGTCAACACCTGGTTTACAATTCAATGTGTCACTCGCATGATACTGTATGGTATATCCTTTTTGATCCAGGAGAAACCCATGAAACACACACGTTTTTGGACCTTGGACGTTTTTCTTTCGTGGCCGTCTCCGGTTTATTCCGCCGCCGCCCAACGGCCGTCTCCGGTCCATTCCGGTCGCCATTCCGCACCGCACCGCCGCGTCGATCCGGCTCCGCAGGTGCCGAGGCCGTGATCAGCGCCGTGGATCGGCGGGAGACGAGCGGATCGGCCACGTACCTGAGGCGACGCCGAACGGCGACCGCCGAACGCCGCGGCGTGGGGTTTTGGGGCGGAGGGGAGCGGAGTGACTTTTGGGGGGGGACCGAAGTGACCCTGCAAGCGCTGAAGCTGGAAGCTGTAGGAATTTCTGTACTGCCTGAGGCAAGAACTCCTGGAGCGCCTACAAACCGGATGGGTTCCAGATGAATTTGTACCATTAACATTCATTCATCAACTGGAACATGACCCACTACTTGGGATTCCAATTCGGGCTTGTTCTATTGCCAGAAACAGTCGGGAAAGGCTGATCACTGTTTTGGAGCAAGGTCTGCAACCTATACACTCATCATCCACTAGGCCCTGGCCATGGGATCTACCCCAATCAATCCGCATCCAAATGTCCCAACCTACTGGAGCCTCGGGAATACGTGGTCGCCCAGGAGCTGATTAGAAGAACTCCAGAGTTGCTCAGCTCGTTCGACCCTTTGCCGCCGAGCGGAGCCAGGTGGTTGATTCCCTCGAGCGCCACGGTGTGGGAGCTCGGTCTGCGAGCGGGTGCGGAGGGTGGAGGGTGTTTTTCTGTGTGTAACCCTTGGAGTCACAGGGAGCCAGTGGGCTGTTTGTTGGGGGTTGAATGTGAAGCAAGGGGACAGAACTCTCTGAATGCTACCCTGTCCAATGAAGCTACGCATCAGAGAGGGAAGCATCCACTGGCCATGGATGTATACCTGCTTTCTCAGTCTTTCTTACACTACTGAGCCATGCTTATGTCTCGTTCTTAATCTGGAGGCAGAGTTCGTGGGCAGACTTACTAGAGCTGCTCATTTGTCTTGCTCACAGATTGGAAACATGTACTTGCATCGCTTCACTCACTGCAGTCAACTAAGACTAATTTTGAACCTTTCCAAATGGTTAGACTGCTTTGCACATCTCTGGTTTTACTTCAGCATTTTTTCACTTAAGCTGAGGCTTCTGCTAGGCAGTGGGCGACCTTTGTACGTACTTTATCCCGAGTGTGCGTTATATATGTTTAAAGTTGTTTCTTGGGCCAATAGGATTGGAACTGCTTGGCCAAGGGGGCGTGTATCTTCTTAGTAAAGTTTTTACGGTATATAAAGGATCCTTTCCTGTTCCACTCATGAATAGGTCGTGTGTGGCTTCGGGTGGTGGGACAGTGGATAGGACCATCAAGGAAAGGACCATCAAGGTGGCAGGTGAACGCCAAATGCTGTGGCAACTTCCAGAGGTTACTTGACTTGTTCTATCCTCCCAATGTTTGTGCGCTTCCACAGCCTTTCCAACTCAAAAACATCTTTGTCCAGCCTTTGCTGAACATTGTTTACTTGATTCATAACCATCAACACCCATGGGTCTGTCTTTATTGTGCTCACACGGAGTAAGACCTATCCACACACACATTAATATATATATATATATATATATTGGGAAGGAGATCCACCCCCTTGCAGACTAATGTGGAATTTCAAAACCAGTGGCAGTGGAAAAACATTGTTTTCATTTGTCTTCCCAACGAGGCTGCTTTCATTGGTCCACGTTAGTTTTCGAGAGATCCCAATGACGGAAGGAAGCCTCCTGCCTTCAGGTCGTCCTCGGGCTTCTTGCAGCGCTGCTTTACCGGCGCTCTGGCCAGCACAGACAGGGACGCCAAGGCATAGTGGAGGTTGAAAATCACTGCAAACGGAAGGTGTCTCAAGAGGTTTGTTGCAAATTTCAAGCACTTGAAAGATACCGATGAGTGTTGTTCCTTTGGAGGAGTGCGATGGCCGCCAGTTTGTGCAAACTGACCTCTTCGACAGAGGTGGAAATGGACAC